TCAGCAGGTTTTAGTTCACAGTTGAAATTAAAAGCATATGACTTAGATAAAATGGTTCAATTACTCCAGAAATATAACTCACCAGACTCGTGTTAGCCCCACTCCAAAGAAAAAGTTCACTGCATTGGCCACTTTAGGTCAGGCATGAGATCTTTTATCAACAGACACTTACTGACAGATGACAAATGATGCTTTAAAGGTAGAGGTACCTGAACTGAGTTGCTCAGGTTAGATTATAACAGGTGTTTTTTTCCTGAGAGAACAGATGGGACAAGAGTGTTGAGTCATCTGACAGTAAGGTGTCCATTATCAATTCTGTTGTCATGCTTTGAAGTTGTATGATTGCTGCACTGACTTAGGGACTGTTATTTTAAGGGAATTTAAGTCGTGAAGAGGCAATCACTTCAAGAACATAAAAATAGTTAGGATACATGATACAGAGGTAGTTATGCAGTAACTTCTGTAAATTAACCTTCCATCTTTTTGCTGATAATTTAAGTATTTTGATATCACAGAATTTTATTAAGTAGAAATCAGCATGGAAAGGCACAAGTTGAAGTAGTACTTACAAGTCATCACAATTCTGCAGATGGGGAGCAAGAGTTTAACTGCTAGCACAAGTGCTTTACTTACCCTACATCAGACTATTTAAATTACTTACACTATTGTGGAACCATACCTTTATACTACTTCTATCACTGCTAACCCAAGCCTTGCCCATACAACCACAATTTCTTAACCTTCTACACGGAAGTCCTGCTAGTTTTGCCACAAGCTAATCAGAGGCAAACTCCCTTAGGAAAGAGGGCCACCAGTTTTCAGCTGGAACATCCTATAGAGTGATAGCATTGATTTGACACAGGGTTGGAAAAAAACTCACCTGCTCAGACTGATCAACTGATACTGCTGTAAAATAATTACCCACCAAATTTTAGCTTTGATGAGGATTTGAAGTCCCAGTATCTATTATCACTGAGAAAGTAATGTTTCCACTATCATGTATTGCAATTTCAGAGTTCTCAGATCTGTAAGAGGTCATGTCACTTAATCTTTTAGTAATTTGGTTTATACAGTAGACATCAGTATTGCATACTATCACAACAGTACTGCTTTATGTTTATAGGCTGTCACAGATAACTTGCACATCTTATTCTCTGGTGTTCTTTGAATAACCCTGCTAGGACTTCAGTAGACTGAAAGTCAGCCTTCAAAAGAATACTAAGGTGGCATATACTTCCGTTATATGGTCTAAATTTGCAGATGTAATACATATTGCTATTGCTGAAAACAGGAGATTCCCATTTACACACTCATATCACAGATTATCTTTCCATCAGTTTACTCCTCGCACAAAGGTGAAAATCTGTCCAGTACCTTTTGAAAAGAGTCTTCATCTGTTATATCATATACTAGAATAGCGCCATTAGAATCCCTGTAGTAGATTGGCCCCAATGCATGAAATCTTTCTTGACCAGCTGTATCCTGCATTTAAAATACAACTGTTAGCATTTAAGACAAAGCAAACAATACTTCAAGGAAATCCAAGTACTTTGAAATTTTACTTTATTAAGAAGTGCGTTAACATTTGAGCTCTAGTAAACCTAAGTAATTTCTCAGGAAAATATTCTATTTAGCTAGGGGAGGGAGAATAGGAAAGTAAACATACCCATATTGCAAGGTTTACTCTTTTCCCACCAATATTTAGCTTCTTTGTAAGAAAAGATGCCTGGAAAGCAAAACAGATTAGAGTTAAGTTTTACACACAAATGTCTCATTTGACTTAAAATTAATTTACTAATAAAAACATCTGAATCAATAAAAGACAGATTTCTGGATCAAAATACTCTTTAAGCCAGAAGGCAGAGTCAATACTAAGCCAGTTAGTCATCTCACTACAGTTTGCCAAGAGTCTATTCTAAATAAATTTGGCTTAAGCCAATCATTTACTACATCTTTTTGCTGTTGGTTTGAGTGATTTGGGAAGGATAAGAGAGTTGTGCGGAAAGAGTCTGAATTCACAACACTAATAAGTCTAAGCTGAACTCAAAGCACATCACAGAGTACATGAAGTCGGGGTAGGAACCAGCCTAACAGGATTTTTAATTTGCAGGAATTCAGCAAAAGTAGTTCAACTATTAGTGAGCTACTAGAACAAAATAAAATAAAATAAATTTACTGCTAAAAGTCTCAGAACACTATTATTCTGCAAGTTTCCTTGTCTGTATCTTTTCGGTTTTTCTTCCCCCTCAACTGAGCCCACAACTCTCCCCATTTGTTTTGGGGGCTTCTTTGGGGCAGTGGTATGGTTTGTTTTGGTGGGGTTTTTTGTTTTGTGGGGGTTCCCCCCACCAGACACTGTTCCTGAAAGCTCAGCGATATGCTTCTCAGCTTACACACAAAGTAAGTGGCAGGATAAGAAAAGCCTCAGAATAAGCATACACACTGCTCTAAGAATTCCATTACATTATCTTCTGAAAACATTTTACAGGACCAGAGCATATTGCAAGGTTAGTCTAACTTAAAGTAACTCAAAAGTATGTCTGTTCTTCTCCAAGCCTGTGTAATCCACATTTTCAAACACTGCCTCTGTTACCAAGTGTATAATACGGTGGCTAGAAAGGGGTATAATTTAATAAAGTTTAATAGGGTCTGAAGGAGTTGATATATTAGGAACCCGCTCCCTCCATTCTGAAGACTAGCAGTAACATGTTAACATCAGACAACTCAGTTGCCAAGGGTTAACTTTTGTCTTTTGCCTTAAGTTACACTCAGTTTTCCTTTCAGCTTCACCTCATCTTGCATTTTGGACATAAACAAGTACTCAGTGGTATTTTACAATACATTCATCCCACATTATTTTAGGCTGGACTGTAGCAGCTCAACATGAGCTCTCTGTATGAGCATTGACCAGGCATTGAACTAACTAGGAGTCGTGTGTATGTGGAAAATGTCATGGACAAGATCAGCTGCTTGAACCAGCTTGCTGCTTAACTACACAAGCAACTAGTACACATGCAGACACCATGGTAGTTCAATTTACACCAGCCTAAACTGCTGTGAAAGTGCCTCTCAAGTGCTGCCTGTATTACAGTTGAAGTCATCCAACACTCAGCTGCTAGAGCAGCTTCTGCTCTTCAGCTACTTCTCTGACACCAACTCTGGCATCTATATGACCTCAGGTGAGATGATTCAAGGAACTTTTCTTCTTTTTTTGAAGTAAACTATACCTTCCCCCAAAGCTTTCCATGAAGTCTGATAAACAGAACAGAGAGAAGACAGACTAGAGGAAAGAAAAAAACAACACAGGAACTTTCCAAGAGCAGATAGCAAAGAACTAATCATTATGACCCACTGTATTCAACATATTTAAAAACCCCACAGAACTCAGTATGCATAAAATTATATCATCATGGCTTTAGACACTGGCCCAATTAATAGCACATATATCCCTACTATCTGACAGAGCAAATATTAAAGTATGCTTATCCCCATAGATAAGTTTTGCTTAAGTATCACCAGTCCTTCAGGTCACTACAGCTTTTGAGAGCAACACTGTCTTTTAGCATTAAGAGTAATTCCTTTCTTATATGCCCAAGTATCAGAAGACCCATACATTCAAGTAAGGCTTTTTAGTATCTCCTAAAAACCAAGAAAGTCACAGGAGATTGTGGCAAGGATATTTTAACATTGGACTACTGTACTTGCTCTCTGCATTAAAACTTGATGAATTTGTACTAATTAAGTTTTAGCCTACCTAAAGTCTTAGGCCCCTAACCAAAAAAGGGGAGACAATATCCTGTATCAGATATCTTCATTACAAGCAAGTTTGTCTAAAAAGCTTTCCTGATAACAGGACTGGAACCTGGTATTTGAAGTAGTCATGGTTAGTAATGAGCAGAAGGCTTTGTGAACATGCTGTGAGAAAGTCAATACTCTACTACAGATCAGATGCTTCATTCTTCTTCATTGTGTTCATATACTTGAAGAATACTGTCAGCAGGCTCTGTTCTTGAATTAATAGGTATGGGTAAGTTTAGCACATTTACCATCAGTAAAGTGCATTTTACAGCCACAGAGGCAAACATGCCAAAGACAAGCCACCTAATATCTACCTTTCAACAGCTCCCCACCCTCCCCCCAGTTCCATCTGTCTCATGAAGAGCAAGGTCACTACTCTTCACTCATTCTGAAGTTATAGAGAAAAAAAAACCCACCAGGTGAACACAAGGATTATGCAGTTTTTAGAAATCGGGGGGGACCCAACATAGAAGGAAGAGCCTTAACTACTGTTTTGAGATAGTTTAGGAGCCTAGTTTAAGAAAAAAATCAGCTACCAAGAGGGTCAAGGCCTTTGAAATCAGTGGAGTCTAGACAGCATTAGGTAATTACACATAGAAGAGGATTCAACATTTTTTCTAATCTCCAAAGAATTTACCAAATTGAGTATTACAGATTTAAGTCCGAGTTGTGACTCTGCTTACAATCAGTAACTCCTTTCCATATTATTTTCATTACTATGACAATTCATTTTTGCTAGGACTTTCAAAAACCCACAAATATAGGACCACAGTTAATTTAAAGATAAGTAATCTCAAACAGCTCTTTGAAGTAAGCTACTAATTTTGGTATTTTAGCTCTAGTGTCTTATGACTGGTCTGAAGAATACTTATACACTGGGAAGAAAAGGATAATGCAATTATAAGAGCTAAAATTCCATTCTCTTTATGTGCCTGTAGAGTATCTTTTCTTTCTTTTAATTCTTTCTTCTAAGAGCTCAGTTTCATATGTCCATCAGGTCCTGTTAGGAGCTGATAAAGGGGTCTGAGTAGAACACATGGAAGACCCAGCTGGAAAAGAGTCTCTTGAAAGTCACTGAATAAAAGCAGGTGTATGTCACCTGCCCCTTCACTGCTTCATCTTCAACAGAGGCAAGCCAGGCACACAAACACTGCATATAGCACTGCACCTCCTTGCAGTCTTCCCCCCCGCCCGCTCCCAGCTATCTTAGACAGCCAAGACAGCTTTTCCAGGTTATGCAAGTCCAGCAAAACAATCAGAATCTGTATAGTATGATTAGCACCACATCAGTGGCTCTCTTGGGTTGGATATTTTGCAGTCCTCCACAAATTTGAGAGATTAGTACACTAAAGTTGTATTTATCTTGAGTAATTAACTAACAGAAAGTGTCTACCCAAATTTTTTAAAAAAAATAGTTTGACAGTAGGTTTATTATTGGAGTAATTCCAGCACAGTTCACTTTGATATCAATTTATAGCTTAGAATTATTTTATCAAGATAAGAGCACTGACCTCAATATTTCAATCAATGGGAACCAATTCTAACTGTCTCACCAGGTCTGACAACAGGTTATGGATTGTATTCATTGTTAGCACAAAACCATACCTTTCCTGCATCAGCTTTTTCATATTATTCTAGATAATGTTTTCTTATGTGACTCAGTAGTTACCTTAATTTCAATTTGCAGGTCATCAATATCTCAAGTACATGACTTGAGGCTAACATAACTACAGCAACACATCCCAAGCAGCCTCCTAACCTCAAAGGAAGTTCCAGTTCACCATTTCCCTCTAGCTAGCATTTAGGGAGGGGGCACACAGAGAGAAGAGAAACAGTTCCCTTTCACTAAAAGCCTTCAGTTACTAGCACAAAAGAAACTCTCCTGTTCGGGCATACACAGATTAACTTCACAGTAGAATAATACTTAAACGTTAGAACTCAGATAGAAAAGCACAGATATACATGAGATAAAAGATTCACACGGACCAATTTAAAGACTTCCTGTGCTCTCCCCCATCGCCAGGCTCACACTGCAGGAAGCACCAGCCAACACCACTAAAAGTTTCCAGAAGGCTACAGTCTCACCACCCTTTTTGTTGCAGTCATACTGGAATAAAACACTATACAGTACTTTCTTTTTACTAAGTCAGAGATTACTGTGGATGGAGAGCCTCCTGTCTCAGTATTTAGTGGTCTTTTCATACGATTCATCACTATGGCTCCTTTGCTGAATCAGGAGCTAATTATTTAGCTAATTTTGGCTTTACTGGAACAAAAGTAATTTGGTGCCATACTTTGAACTGATGCCATGAAACAAAACCACCTTATCAGATTAAGCCTTTAATCTTAAAAAAAGGTTGTTTTGCAAAAATGTCATTTCATTGCTTAATCAGATATCCTAGTTCCTCCTGATCTTATTTTTTAAGGGATGTTTTAATTTGCTGGTGGCAGAACTTACTAAAGCTTTCTTCTAGAACTGCAAGATGTAGGAAAAAGACAACTAATAAAGACAGTACTTCACAAGCACACATGACATACAGTAGAATTCAACAGCAACTGACATTGTAAAATACAATCAATAAGATGTATATGTGGCTAAGGAGGCTCAGAACAGAAAAGCAAATGAGTTGAGAAACACTGTCCAGTCAGTTAAGAGATTCAGGTGGCAACCAGAAACCTAATCACAGTGGAGAAACAAAATCTCGCTATCAAGTGTGAGCATGTGCTTCCACTCCCCTGCAAGCACACACACACCCTTCCAGACAGTCGAAACTGAAAGCTGTCAAGCCATCAGATCTAGACATTTTCCTATCAATGTTTTGGAGGCATTTAAAGGTCCATTTTTTGACCATATTTGTGACCCAAGTCTGTATTTCAACTCACTTTTTGATTCTAATTTTAGGTTTTCCACTACAGAATTAGAAGAAC